ATTATTATTATTTCAAATGGCAGGCTTTATGATATTTATCATTTGCCCTTAAACTTTGACTTCAGCTTCCCCTAAGGGTGGGGGGGGGTACATTTATAGCAGTTAATCAATAGCAGTTTATTAGCTGTCTTCTGGCTTTATAATATCTCTGAGTTTCCGTCGTTGTCTTTAGGGTTGGACACCGAATCAGGTGGGTCTTCTCCATTTCCTCCTGTAGGTTATATGGGGAGCATGTGGGTTGAGTGTATGCTCCCAATTTGTGAAGGTGTTTTGCCAGGCAATCGTGTCCGGTACGTAGTCTGAACTCAGCAACGGCTTCGATTCTTGGCCAGTCGGGTATGTCGGAGAGTGCCACTGTCCACTGTTTCTCCTTTGTTCGAGCTTTAAACTCGTTGCACCTTGAGGTCTTGAATTCTCTTCTGATTAAGGCCTTCATTGTGTGGAAAGACATCGACTGGTCCATGCATTGCAAAATCGTTGTCCCTTTCTTAGCAAGTGTGTCAGCAAGCTCATTGCCTTTAATGCCACAGTGACCAGGAATCCATTGTAAGACCAATGGGAGTTTATGATCTTTAGAAAGAAAAAAACAGGGAAAATCACTTCTTATTAATTTGAAAACAGAACATCTTTTAAGCAGAAATAACAAACCCTTTAGAAGTTAGTGGTGACACCACACCTATCTGTGGATAAGTACTGAACAAAGATTTGGTCCAATTGGCTATTAATAAACGTTTCTTTCTAATGATTTCCAATCAAGTGGAATATTTGATTTATGAAAATCCGTTGGGGGGGAGGGGGGGTTTATACCTCAGCCAATTTGTCCTACCGAGTGACTGGTTTGTTGCTAATTATTAATGAAATATTCCAAGGGAAAGAGGTATTTTCTTTATTAGATTAGTGCACGTAACCATTAATAATTAGTTTGTTATAGGGAAAATGGCATATCTTTTCAGAAGGTTTCAAAATTTTTTTATGTGGGGTGTGCGATGGAATAATTTCCACTTCGTGCACACTGGGCAACATATACTCATACGGCAAGAAAGTCTATTAACAGGCAGTTGACTTCTGACTTTGAACTACCATGACCCCACTGTATGTCATATTCGACCCCTTCCACAGTACTCATTTTTCCTTTTCTTTGTCTTTGTGACTGTCTGTCTCCTTTTCATCAGTGAATCATTATTGTGTTGCTCATCTCGACCTTTTGTCCCTTTGATGTTCCTCCTCCTCTCTGTGAGGCCCGAAGTCAACTAAAGGGCTAAAGATAACTATCAAAACGTCTGCCATTTGAAATAAATAAATAAATACATATTTTTATGTGCCATTAAGCCCTAGTTGGCAATAATGATTGGCTATCTGAACAGAATAAACAATAGCCTTAGATGTGAAAGGTGTAGCTAATGTAGATATGATATATATATTACGTATTTTGCAGCCTGCGGCAACGGATCGTCGTGGTGAGTCAGGAGGAAGCACAACACTGTCCTTATCCTCATCGGTATTCAATTCAATACACAATCAGAGGGATTCTCATACGCCGTCCGGTTCACAAATCCATCAACATCTTAAAGCAGATCAGCGATGGGAGGTGATAAGGCATCCAGAATTGAGGGCAATAGAGACAGGCAAACGTAGTCACCAGGAGGTTGTCAATCAAAAGAGAGATACCTTGCCCAGATTTGGTCCTCCTCAATTAGGAATAGGCTCTGCTGTGATCTTCGAACCCAGCCGGCAAAGATCAGAACCTCCGAGGATAGGCAAGGTGAGTACTGATAGATTTGGAAGTACAATTGATTGAATATATTCTTCTCTGACATAGAATACCCTATTAGGCTTTTGGTCACAGCAGATTTTCAAGGTGCCTTAAATTTAATGAACCGGGGGAAAAATTTCCCCTCTTCTAATCCGCACTCTCAGGTCGTTAAATTGTCTTCACTAGACTCTGTTGACTTCGAAGGAAGCGGAGATCTATGTTGGCTGATGATGGGGTGACTGAAAGTTAAACCGGCTGGTTAATGGAACCAACCACTTGATAAATGTACTCGTGCGCCTTCTCTGCCATTCTTGCTAGGATTTTTCAGACACGTCCACATATTTGTCTTCAGAGTTAAAAGGAGCCACCGTTGGATAATTGAATCCTATAAGCACGCTTTGTTATTCATGCGTCATTCATTACCGAGCGAAATTTTAGGTATTTTGTTACTTTTTCGTCTTAAATTCCGCTTAGCTTTATGATTTCTTTGCACCAACTTGGAGAGCCCAATGCTGCCAATAATTCACGCATTCTAGGTAATGTAATACTTTTAGGCTTCAATTCAAATCACTTTTCCGCCTTTTGGTAGAAAATTTCACACATGAATTCCTCTTAATTAACCTCCACTTCCTTTGAAGTTGCTAAGAGTTTGGCTTATTGAAGAAGTCTTGCAATCGAAAATACCACCCATTTTTGCAATTCATTTTGTTGATTAATAAGTAATGTACCAGGTTGACAAGGGAATAGATTTGTCTATAAGGTGAGAGCGGAGATCAGGCATCTCTTGAATTTATCTACTTTCGATTACCCTTTTGTGTGCATGCCAAAATTAAAATAAAATGACACCAACGCAAACATTTGGCTATTAATTCACATAATTTCCAACCCTGGGATTAACGGAGAGTAAATAACAATTTTATCCGCTTAAATGTTTGCCTTCGTCATAAACTTGGCATCAAGAGAGATATGTTCAAGGTTAATGGTAGCTAACCAATGAGGTTAGACCTCCCGACCTTTGCGGAGAACAATGCCAACATGACATATCTTCTCAAGTATGCTAAATTGGATGACTTTTATGTTGGAGTAAAGTTCAGAAATTCAAGATTACTTTGGAGGATATTGTGTTGGTAACAAAGGTTGTTGAGTATCGGTAATTAAAAGACGCATGGTTCAGTTCGTTTTTACATTTTTCACTTATTAGTTCGGATATTGTTACCTCTCCTGTCTTCATAGTTGAAGATTTATTGGGTAATATAAGCGGTGATTTGCCAAGTATGCTTCTGATTACCAGTTGCGCTGGGGTTAGTTCCGAATACTTTCTAGTAAGAATTAATATGATTACCACGTAGAAGGTTTATGAATAGTGATCTGCTTTTAAGCACTCTTTCAGTAATTGTTTCAGCCATTTTGATTCGGTCCTAACATTTATGCACACTTCTTAATCATAGCCACACCTGATAAATGATGCAAGCGAGCGTGCGTGTCACTTAGGCAAAATTAGTAGTCTCCGTCTTGGCCTTTACATCTCTCCCCCACCCCCCCTCCCCAAGCAGGCGAAAAATCCAGGGTGAGGAATTCAATTCACCTTCAATTTACCCTGACTAATCATTACGCCATGCCTACGCTTTAGAATGGACTCGTGAATCCTTTCCTTATACCTCGAGGGATAGTAAACAAGTGGTGTAAGGGATTCAATCTTGAGGGTATAATAGCTGAGCGGTTTGGTCTTCTTAAAAAAATGCTTCTTAATTCTTCAACGATGGCTACTCAAATCGAGCACATTCCTTCAAAAAATAAGCAGCTTTTGCTTGTCCATTTACTTCTGACATGGTCTACCTCCATCGTTGCTTCGGAATTAATCAAAGAGTCGAATAAACCCTATTATCTAGGCTTTAAGTTCCGCAATGGAGCATTTTTTCATTTATAAGACGATTTAAATTAAGTGAAATAGGATAAAATAATCGAAATAATATTTAAAAAATGCACTTATTGAAGGAGAGATTTTTCTTTTTGCTAAGGGTTAAGTGTAGTGGACAATGGTGTTATATCACTCCTGAGGGCACCGTTCGTTCTGCTTGTAAATAATTCAACGTGCGCACGCGCGCGCCTTCATATCCCCATTGGCGATTTATTGACAGTCGCAAAAGGCCTGTTCTACTCCTTTTGTCCTAGGACAAATGCTTTGCTATTTATTGACAGTTGTATTTACAAGCGATCTTCATATCATTTGGTTTCTGAATTTCACGAAAGTCGTGGAGTAAAAGAACAACTTTCGATTTACTCATCAAATTTCAATAATTCCCCTTTTTTGAATGACTGTTTAAATTGAGTGCAATCAATACATTTCAACCCCCTCCCCCCTCCCCCCTTCCAACCAACCAAGGTGCATTTTCGTGTTACCGATCAGTGGCTATTGACTCACCTCTGCCGTGATAACGCTCAGCCAATCTGGCATTGTTGTGTGTGTGCTCTTTGATCTTGAATTGTGCCATTCTGATTTAAATTAAACGGGTTAACTGCCATTAGACATTGGATGGAATCCGGCTCCAGAGTTCTACCCTCGACCCTATTCCCCTCGAACTGGTGACCTCATCAAGAATTTTTTATTATTATCAGACCTCTTGTCCTCTTTGGTTAAATCTGATCTGTATGAGGGGGGGGGGTTATATTTGGTGAAAGTCTGCTCAGTTCGTGCTATATATATATATATATATATATATATATATTGACGGTAATTTCAGTGTCCTTCTCTACTCTCCAGAGGATATACTTGGAACCCATCTCCCCTCTCCTATGGTCAATTGGAAACCCCTTTTCTTAAGAGTGACATGATAAAACAGGATGAATAATATTCTTTCACTATAATTACACCATTAGTCAGTTTGATCTACAAGATGAACAATTTGAACAGTTTGATCAAATATTTATTTATATCAAATGGCAGGAATTTTGATGGTTATCATTAGCTCTTTAGTT